CACGTGTTATCGCCAATCGCTTGACTTGCCAGCGAGCTTTACGCAATAGAAGAGAAAGGCAAGAAGATAGCCCACGTGTTATCGCCAATCGCTTGACTTGCCAGTGAGCTTTATGCAATAGAAGAAAAAGGCAAGGAGGTAGCCAGCGTGTTACCGTCACAGACCTTGTTCACGGGTCTAGTACAACGGTGCAAAATCGTGTTCAGTGCAAAGAGAATTCTACCAGATCTAACGAGAATCTATCTATATCAAAGCTTATCAAAACTGCTATAAACACTACTATAAATGTGAAACTATTGAACTCTAAAGTGGCATTGAATACACGCGAAAACGTGGAAGTGACTCATGAAACCGAAGGTGACCTTGGGAATGAGTCAAAGGTCAATGAGACTTGTTATTCTGGAATATGTCACAATTCTAGTACAGACGAAAATAAACAAAACTCTACCGCATTACAAAATTTCAATAACACACATGCGAGTATAGTGAAAGAAGTATTACCTTTGCCATCAACTCGTCCATATAATAATTTTAGTCGAAGTAGATCACGCAGTAAACATTTAACACATGTCAAAAGCCGAGATCGAGTGCCGTCTAGAATTCCCGTTAAAAAGTTAGTTCATTTGATGAACAAAAATAGAAAAAGTAGGCGTTTAATAAAACGGTTTATTAAGCAGTGTATTCCTAAATCATCTTGCTTTCACAATTTGCTTTCCACAAGATACCGAAAAGATATAATTCAGCAACAAACAAATGCATATATGTGGAAATTTAGGAAGCCATTTCATGCTAAGTCTAAGAGAATACGAAGAGTTGTACATAAACAATTGTCAATGCAATGACAATGCACAACTTGGCAATTCTGAAAAACAGTACAAAGCGTGCTAGAACTAGAAAACATAAATTGTTTAAGTCATACAGCATTAAAGTTGTGGGCAGTAGTAAATGTAATATGCAAAGAATAAAGACATCTAACAGAAATTTCTTATTTGTGTCTGGTGCAATGAGCTATAAATATATGGAGAGCGCAACTATAGATACAGAAATTGAAGCCGGAAGTCGCGCGCGGCCGCCATCTTACTGTGACCACCTTGAGGAGTGAGCTATTGTGATTAATACGGTATTTTCAACTGTTTTGTTCTGTTATCTCGCAACATAGGAACAAATCAAGTCAAATATGGTATTTTAAGCAAAAGCACATGTTCAAGAATGTTGGGGACCTCTTTTACATTCAAATGAACTCAATCGTAAAGAAACGGGTCTATATTTTAGACGACGTTTCTGAGTGCGACTGAGATGAATCATGAATTTAGTCGTGACAACACCTTTCAAATGGGAATTTCTGATAGAGATCGGTGAATTATACCATAAGTTAACACATGAGAAATTGGTCATGAACTTTATTGTTTTGGAAATGGTGAATTTTATATGGACATGCAAGATCATAATATATTCATATCACCTCATGTTTGTTTCTATCAACGCAAACAATTTATGTCGCTTGTGGGATTTGTTAAAGGAACAAATGATTCAGGATGGTAGAAAAAATAGCAGGTGCATTGTAGTGATCTTATTTATGTTAATGGTGGGTGCTTAAACGCAATGCCTTGTAAGAATATATACCATACCATCCCTGCTTGTGTAATATGTTCCTTATTAAAGTCATAGTCATGATTAATTATCACTCTTCTGAGAAGACCTCAATGGTGTTATATTCCAAAGAAGCAGATTAAAATTAATAAATTTGTAAGAAATTGAAAGTTGTAAAATAATAGTATCTCATTTCTGTGCTTTTTAGATCCTATAGAGACAGTATAAAGTGAAGATGGAACAATGCTGCAAACAGTTACATTCAGTTGCATGTATATATATATATATATATATATGCATTATATTGCATTGTGTGAAAACAATTTAATTGTAAAGGGTCTCTAGTATTATAGGATCTGTGTGAAATTCCAGTAGTTTGTTGCCAAATACTCATTTAGTGTGTTTTGCTAAATAAAGTTTAACTGCCTCGTATGAGGTAAAAATGGTTGTAACAAAAATGCAGGTTGAAATCAAGCCTTCAAAAGCATTAAACCCACATTAATATTTGCTCTATCTAGTGCCAGATGATTTTACTCACTAGTTAATTAGTTAATTACTGTAATACTGCAAGTGAACTGTTTAACAGAACTCGTCTATCTGTATACATGGTTATTACTCCACTGTTGTCACTGCTTTGTTTTTAGGAGCCAACCATTTAACTTTTGAGGGGGGGGGAGTTGATTTTGAAAAAAATTCCTGCAAGGCTATTCTGAACAAAAAAAAACCTGCACTAACAGAGGGAAAAATATCATGTCCCATTATTTGGTGGGAAAATGTTGCAAAACACCATGGTTGCAGGGATCGATTTGACCAGTCACAGAAGATCAGCTGGCTTGATTTTCAGGGACTAGTGTAAGGTTAATTTCTTGTTGGAAAACTCATCAAAGTGAGCTTCAAGAAATCCAAAATTGTCTGGGGGGCATGCCACCAGACCCCTCTAGAGGCTCCCACCTTTGATGGTCGACTCGGTTGTTTTAGAATCTTAGGTATCACTATGGCCTGATCTGCTGCCCTATGGCGCATACTTATTAGTTAAACTATGCATACATATGCTGCAAGTAGCTGCAGCAACACATACTTGCCGACTGGAACTTCTCCAGGTCCCCTGCTAAATATGGCCCTTTCAGTTACACATCCTTACAGGGCCGTAGCAACCAGGGGGGGTTGCAATCCCCCCCCCCCCAATAATTTGCTAATAATCATTTTCAAAATCATGCAGACCTTTATCATTTAATCCATGACAAACTGCAAAGGATGAAGATATTACTCATATTTTCCTGCAACTTATCCAATATATAGTTCATTAAATACGCCTTCATCCATTTAGTACTACTAAATTGTAAATTTCAACACACTAAAACGCTGGTTTCTGACCATCAGAATTCTGTCAAATCTTCCCCAAAGTCCAGGAAATGGCACTTCAGAGACTTTACATTTAAAAATTTCCTCGGGCCTTCGGCCCTCGCTTTCAGACCCCCCCCCAATCGAAAAGAGCTTCCTATGGCCCTGCCTTAAAAGAGGCCCTGAACCAAATGTTATACCTCATAGCAATATATATTATTAAAAGCAATGCATGAAGCTAGAAAACTCAACGTTAACTATAATCAAAGAATCTAAATGGGTTGTTCCAGAAAAGATCCATACTCCCCTCACGGAGGAAATTTCTGCCGTCCCGAGGGGGAAGGGAGAAAAAATTGTTTCTGATAATAGTAAATGTATTAGGACATCCGAAGGGGGTAGGGGGGTTACCTTCCTATTTCCTCTGTGGGGGTGGTATGGATGTTTTCTGGAATAACCCAATAGCACAAGCTATTGAAAAAAAATGCTGCGAAAGAGAGTGGAAAAAAAACATACATGGTGATGGGATAGAAAACAACTTGCACATAACGATCCCAGAAAAAAATTCCCTGCCAGCAATAAATCACCCCCCCCCCAAAAAAAAAAGGTAAATGGTCGGCCCCTTAATTCATTCGTTTCTTAATAGTTTTGTCTTTTTACTGTAAAATGACTAAAAGTAGTTACTGTAAAATGACTAAAGTAAAAGTACTGTTACTGCAAAATGACTAAAGTAAAAGTTTGTAAGCAGTACTGTAGTGTATTTTAATGCAATTGTAATGTGTGTAGGTGTGTCAAGTCAGCATTCAGTCTCATAAAATATACATATTATGCTGTTTATTAATTGATCTGTATTATTGAGGGCAGAACATATAACAATGTCACAATTTCTTGAAACCTAAAAACCTGAAAGCTAATTGACTCCATGAAGAAAAGACAAAGCTAAAATGATCTCAGCAGGTTGCAGTATTCAGTCAACAAACAATGTTTTATAACCAATACATTTTTTTGTGATTAGGCTGTTAGATTTTACACAGATCCTATAATACTAGAGACCCTTTACAATTAAATTGTTTTTACATAATGCAATATATAGACATGCAACTGAAAGTAACTGTTTGCAGCATTGTTCCATCTTCACTTTATACTGTCTCTATAGGATCTAAAAAGCACAGAAATGAGATACCATTATTTTACAACTTTCAATTTCTTTCAAATTTATTAATTTTAATCTGCTTCTTTGGAATAAAACACCATTGAGGTCTTCTCAGAAGAGTTATAATTAATCATGACTATGACTTTAATAAGGAACATATTACACAAGCAGGGATGGTATGGTATATATTCTTACAAGGCATTGCGTTTAAGCACCCACAATTAACATAAATAAGATCACTACAACGCACCTGCTATTTTTTCTACCATCCTGAATCATTTGTTCCTTTAATTAACAAATCCCACAAGCGACATAAATTGTTTGCGTTGATAGAAACAAATATGAGGTGATATGAGTATATTATGATCTTGTCCATATAAAATTCACCATTTCCAAAACAATAAAGTTCATGACCAATTTCTCATGTGTTAACTTATGGTATAATTCACCGATCTCTATCAGAAATTCCCATTTGAAACGTGTTGTCACGACTGTATTCATGATTCATCTCAGTCGCACTCAGAAACGTCGTCAAAAATATAGACCCGTTTCTTTACGATTGAGTTCATTTGAATGTAAAAGAGGTCCCCAACATTCTTGAACATGTGCTTTTGCTTAAAATACCATATTTGACTTGATTTGTTCCTCTATTGCGAGATAACAGAACAAAACAGTTGAAAATACCGTATTAATAACACTAGCTCACTCCTCAAGGTGGTCACAGTAAGATGGCGGCCGCGCGCGACTTCCGGCTTCAATTCCTGTATCTATAGTTGCGCTCTCCATATATTTATAGCTCAGTGGTCTGGTGATGTAGAGTTAAACCCAGGTCCCGTAAATATTTCAAATATGTCAGTATTGACCACAAGACTAGCTCGAATAGGAGGAAAACCAGTAAACATTGTCAGTGACGGTAACTGTTTATTTCGTAGTGTAAGTCATCAGCTTTACCGAACAGAAAGTCGTCATGCCCAAATAAGAGCTCTTGCAATCCAACATTTAATAAACTGCCCAGAACATTTCATAGAGTCTAATACTGAACAATCATGGTCGCATTATTTACAGAATATGTCAAGGCTAGGCTCATGGGCAGACCATATTATCATACAGGCAGTTGCGAATGCAAAAAATTTAAGAATTCACATCACAGAAAGTGCGCAAAATTTTACTGAAAGTACAGTTGTAACCTCTATTTATGCTCAGGGAAATGTAAGAGATATTTATATCGGACATCTTGACGAACTGCATTATGTTTCTACAATGCCAATTGAGCAATCTGCCTCTCAACAAATAGGAAATCAGACAGCAACTGATAAAGAGGGTCCTGAAGGGGTAAAATGGGAACTGGGATTGATCTATTTTTAGACTGGAAAAATGGGATTTGGGTTGCTGGGACTGGGATTTGGCCACTGGGAATGGGAAATGAAGTCCTCAAAAATGAGAACGGGATTAAGGTAATGCCAGTCGATTCCCAATTTTTCTGCGTTTTGAGTATTTTAAAATACAATTTCGATCCGTTTTTGGTGTCTGTGGTCATGATTTTTGTTGTTAACTATATTATTCACAGCACTACCTGCAAACAGGCATATTCTGGCGCCCGGAATTCTGGGTTTTCTGATTATGCGTCTCAGAATGCTGCAAATGCCATTTCCGGGATTCATGCAGTGTCCGCCACTTGCTTAAAAGGTCTTAAAACTGTTTATTCTACCGATAAATAAAGGGGTTTTTATTGACTGGGATTTCAATAACTGGGACTGAGATTTCTAATAAAATTCCAACTGGGACTGGGATTTTGCCAAAATTTCAGGTGGGAAATGGGATTGCGATCCCCCCTTCAGGACCCTCGATAAACAAAAACCAAACCCACAAAATTCGCAATCTAATACTAATAGTAATAAATATATCTCAGAAAAGTCCGTCTCAATGAAAAAAAATCAAAAAAGAAAAGAATACATGAAGGAATACATGAAAAAAAGAAGGTCGAACAACGAATTTAAAAAAAAAGAAAGCGAGAAAAAAAAGTCATATAATAAGAATTACAAAAACTCGAATTCTGAAAAATTTAAGGAATCTTGGCAAAAAGCCAGTGCAACATACAAAGAATCAAATCCTGAAATAGTAAAAGAAATTTTTAAGACAGCCACTGCAACATACAGACAATCAAATCCTGAAAAAGTAAAAGAGAGTTTTAAGAGACAATGTCCACTAAAACCGAGCAAAATCGAGAATACGTGGCACATGAGGAAAAATAAAAAATCTTCTTATTTTTTCCAGTGATACTCTAATGTGTACTCAGAAACGTGGTGGGGTTTGTTTTCTGAAATATTATTTTAAACGCCGAAAATTATCAAAACCTGACACATACCCGAGATTCGCGAAATTGGCAAAAAAACATTGTGAGCTACGGCCTCTCGAAAATTTCGTTTTTCTCAATTGGCGTGTGATGAAACCTCACCTTTCGTTTTTAAACGTATTTATAAGATGTTTATGGAGAACGTGGGTCCAATTTGCAATTTTTCAAATGATTTTTCAATGTCAAGACAAGCGTGTAAAAATCGTCTTTTTTTGCGATCCAAAAAATTCTAAATTGTTACACTTTTTGAAAATTAATTTTTCCGTATCCGGGAAAACTCTAATTTCCTTGAAATTTACGGAATTTAAAGAGAAACTGTGGCTCTAAAAGCTGATGTAAAAATTATTTGGGGGCTTTTTGTTACTGCGGAATTATACTGACTATATTATCGAGAAAATCACAAAAAAAAACTTAAAAATCCTCAGACAATTAGGCAACTTGCTTCAACTATAGACAGTCGAACCTTAATCATTCTTGCTTGTTTTCTCTTGTTATTGATAGGCATAGGCGTACCGGGCGGGGGTGCGGGGGGCGGTAGCCCCCCCCCCAAGTTTTTTGGGCAGTTGGGCAATATTCGATCAATAGTCGGGCAATTTTGGCTTGCAATAAAAAAATTGGGACAAATTCTGTCAATTTTGTCTAAAATTCAGTCAATTTTGTCTAAAATTAAGTCAATTTTTTTGCAAATTTTGCGATTTTTCGAAAATTTGTGTTATGTTCGGAAAAATTTGGTTGTCCGGAAAAATTTTTTGAACCCTAAAATGGTACACTGTCCGAAATTTTTTTGGCGACGGGGGGGCGGGGAAGGTCGCCAAAACAATTTTTCCGGAAAAAATGTTTTTGATACTAGTCGGGCAGAATTCGAAAAGTCGGGCAATTTTCTTTCCGCCCCCTTAATTTTTTCCTTCCGGTACACCCATGTTGATAGGAAATATAAGACGCAGATAATTTTAAACTAGTTTGCCTATTTCTAGATAAAAATACGCTGTTAAACTCTCCAAGACTAAGATTTCTGCTTCAAATTCTTGTTTCAATTGATCGATCCATGCGCGTCAATTAAACTAAACTAGAAACACTTGTACACTCGCTAGATTCAATTAAAGGCTATATATACTTACTATAAACAGTCAATTACTTATATTTGAGCATGTTGTGCTGTAAGCATTTCAGTTTAAGCGTCAAACTTCGGCCTTATTTTCATTGAAGCCGGGCAAGTTCAGTCGTTTAATTAAAGGGACAGGTCCGTTCCTAGCGTGATAATTGGGGGTTATGTTCATATATTCGTCATCTGGCCGACGGATTTCTTTTGAAAGCGATTGTTTTTACGGTAGCGAGCATGAATATATGAATTTACCCCCCCCCCCCATTATCGCGTCTAGGAACGGCCCTGTTGGGGGATATGATCGGAAATAGCATGAATATAGAAATTAGATTCCCTTATCTGAAAGAACTTTTAAAATTACGTGGAAAACATTTTAAAGCTTTTTTTTAAATCTCGCTTATTTCTCGACCTTAATTTAATTAAGAAAAGCTTCTGTTGTGATGGAGCTAAACTGTGGAACTAATTACCTAAATGCAATTCAGACGCTTATAACGAGGGTCGTACGTCGAGGTCGAGGGTCGAAAATAGTAAATTTTTATCCATTTCAAACGTTTTACAACCATTTTGAAAGCTCCCAAAAGCGGCAAAACAATTAGTTTTGCTCTCAAAACTGAACAATTTCGCCTATGGCTATAACCTATATGTATACTGAAAGTTTCGCTGAAGAACTATAAGTCTGATGCGAGGTTTGATGTTTGAAAGTATACGTATTTTAATATACATCGGAATTTAAAATATACAATCATGGGCGATGATCAGAGGCGATGATACAAAATTTGCGTTTCGCCAGTGCCGTAGCTAGCTCGATAATTTGGGGGGGGCAGATATTCATATATTTGTGTTTACAGACCATAAAAACAATCGATTTCAAAAGAAATTAATAACGCAGAACACGAATATATGAATATCTGCCCCAATTATCGATCTAGCTATAGCCTGCATGGCAGGCGGTACGTAGGAAATACCGCCTGCCGCAAAACTGGGTGTAAATGAACTACCGCCCCTGAAGCATCACGCTATTTATAGATGCATTAATTAAGTAAATATTCAAAATTAGCCACTCCCAAGCTGCTCCCAAGTCCCAACTGCCCAACATAAAATAAATTCCTTTATTCTCATAACCGCCCGACTGAATTTTAAAATCCTCGTGAAAACGTTTTATTTTTCGTCATACAATATAAATGTACCGCCCGACAAATAATTCAAGACAGTTAATTTTTTCATATTTTATATAGAGTTTTTATTGCCATTTTAAACTTCCAATTTGAAACAAACAGAATTTTGAGTGAAATTTCATTGTATTTTAAAGAAACTCAGTCATTCTGTCATTGTTTGTGGAGATACGAACTATTGATATATAAATTATATAAATATAAAATATAAAAAATAAATCTCCCACTGTCTTCGACATTTCAAAGTGTAGACTGTGTCTAGTGATGAGAATCAAGGAATTTATTTTATGTGTTAATATAAACCAAGCCCGTTTAGCCGTTTAGCTGCCTTAAAACGGTGGTTTAATAAGCTGAAAATACAAAGCATGCAAGTCTATACTATAGATTCATCATCAGTCAACAACCAAACTGAAAGTATTGAACCTTATAGAACGATAGTTTTTATTTGTTTACAACTATACATATTCAACGGTATATAAGAGTTTAACTGTTATTTGATAATTACTGCATCAACCTGCCCCTTGTTTATACTTTGGAGGTTCGTATATATTAATATCTATCAAGTATCTTTGGTTCAGAACATGACTGATAGGCCTATATGGAAATCCCACTGTTCGATTCAGTGAAGAAATATCTCCTAATTTGTATCGATAGTTTTAGTAAAATGTCAACATTATTGCGATTTATGGCCTTTGAAAGTCAAGCGAGATAGTATATTATCAAATTAATACGCATGTAATTGTCTGAACGAAAATATAGACTAGCCCATACCTTTCGCCGATCATAACTTCGGCCCCTTCGGACGTATCTTCTTTGTTAAATATTCTTGTTCGAATCTCTATCAATAACACTATTTAGAGTGTTATTTTTCAGCTTGTATCTTTTAATTTGCTTCTTTTATTATGTTATTCCATTTCTGGTCTGACTTGACGTGAACTAATTTCAAAACGCAGAGTTTCAAAACGTCAAAACATTTGGTTAATGATTAACATTTAACCGAATTTAGCCGTTGATTGACAACTACATAAAAATACTAACCAATCCGTTTTTCCCGTTCACCAGCGGACGGGTAATTCAAAAACCCCTAGTTTTGCGGCAGACGGTATTTCCTTTGCTTCCCTAATTTTCGCTGCCCGTAGAAATACCGCCTGCCATGCAGGCTAATCTAGCTACGGCACAGCGTTTCGCTCTCATGAGAAATTTGATTATAAGAGGCTGTTTATATGGTCCCGCTTACCCGGGATTCAATGAAGTGTAACGTATTTTGATCGAGCAATTGAAATACGTGTTTCAGCCCTATAAAACAAAAGTTAGATAACTTTAAATATTTTTTAAACGAAATTAGGAATGCGCCTGAAGTTATGTAGTGAAAGAAGACGATTAATAGCATTCAACAACATTTGGTTTTTGTGGCTAGCCCGTTCGCGGGCTAGCCACTATGATACGGGATGAGCGGTGGTGGTCGGTCAACGGTGTCTGTCCGGATTGTCGTGAAATTATCGTGAGCGGAAGTGAGGCCGACAGTATGGCGATCGTTTGTTTCGTGGTTTCGGTTATCATCGGAAATTTGGCGGAAGTGATGAGGCCCGACAGTTTGACGATCGGTTATTTCGGTTTTCATCGGAAATTTTTGAACTTCATGCCTGATAAACATTTCATGCAAACAAATATTTTCGTTTTGAGGTCTTTTCGACAGCTGCTGTTTAAAAAAATACAAAAATTTTGCGAACGATAAGAGAAGTTCTACAAAAGGTAAGTTAGGAGAAATCAAGGAGATTTTGATCACGCTTGATATAAAGCTTTATATAGTGAGTTTATAATCCTGTTTATAATCAAACGTTCTTGCACAGATCTTGAATTTTTATCCATTATGTGGGTAAATTTATAAGAAGCAAGCCCATTGTTTACATATTTTACAACGATACTAAAACTGCCCTATCCACTTGCAGGTATAAAACTACAATTAACACAGAAAACAGGCGGGACTATTTTATGAGTTTATGCTAATATAGTCTATTGTAGTCACTAGCCTGGAAGCTCAGTCTGTTTACATACAGTTGAAGGATCTTCTAGATGGAAGTAATTGAGTGAAAATGTATTATTTTACATTCATTAGACCTATTAAACCAGGAAATGCAACTGTACTTGCAGTTTATTTTTGGATATCTAGTCCAGATGTAAATAACATATATCTGATCTAGGATCAGCAGGGACGTAGAGACACGGGCGTGTGTGTGTGTGTGTGTGTGTGTGTGGGGGGGGGGTTGTAAACCCCACAACTGTGAAACTCAGGTAAAACTCATGTACATTGTAAATTTTGACATTTTCAGGTAAACTTTGTGTAACAAAGTCGTTATTTTTGTAAAATGATGACCATTTGACATCCGGCACCCCACCCCAAACTTCAGATGCTTTGCTACGTCTCTGAACATTAGTGCAATCACCATACAACACTGACCCTTGCAGTTACGAGGGTATATATGAAGAAGAAAACCCACAGCCATGTGATGAGGTCATATCGACACGTTTCAACATTTCTTTTCAGCACTTAATAACAGCAGTGTCAATTGAGTAGCATATTCATACTCTTATTGCCACAGTTAAATGTTGTTTAACCCA